ATGACACTGTTGGTATTATCAATTAAAATGAAAGTTCAGAGCTAAGATGATCAGCCTTTAAATAAATTTGGCTAGATAGACACAGCATCACTCATTTTTTTCTCCCCCACTAGTCCAAGTGGCAATCTATTAAGGGTACAGCTTCTAATGATCTCAAATCCCAACATACGGTATGTGACAGCCTCATTGTGTCCATATAACGAAGTGGACAAAGGTCCTCTGCAAAGACATGTACTCTCTCAGAAACTCTTATCAGCAAAGAATTCTGCACATATTCTGAAATGCAAAATTATACTCAAGCACATAAAATGTAATATACTGTATTTCTTTATTTAAAACATTTATATGGCCTCCTCAAACTCTGGGTGGCTTACAATCAAAAGATAAAAACAATATGTACAGACAACAAAACAAAAACCAATAAAACCAACAAGAGAAAAACCTGGCGTCAAACCTCCTGATGCAACCCACAACACTCTCCTCCCTTTCCAATCTCACCCTATCCCAACACCTAATGAAAAGCCAGGTCTTAAGTGCTTGTTGGAAGATTAAAAGGGACCCGAGTTAAGTTAGTTTGATCTTTTTCATACACTAATGAAAGTGTGTAAATGATTTTTGCTATATACTTGTTTGTTTATTTATGGAATTCAGAGGCCACTCCAATCAGTCATGAATTTGGGAGGCTTACAAAATACAACAATAAAAAAAACAGAAGCTTAAAAACAAAGACATGATGCCACCAAAAAGTGAGAGTGGAAAAAGCCAACAACTATTCAAAAGACCAAAACACCACACAAGGGGTCTATCACCCACTCTAGCCCAAGGCCTGGCGGTAGAGCTAGGTTTTAATGGCTTATTTCTAGAGGGCCAGGTTGGGAACCGTATAAATCTTAGGGGGAATGTGTTCCAGAAAGCAGGTGCCATGATAGAGAAGTTCTACATCCTGGGTCTCATCAGGTAGCATTGTTTAATCTATGGGACCTGGAGCATGATAACTGTATCAGAACGTTTGGATTGAGCAGAAACTACTGGAGATAGGTAGTCCTTCAAATAGCCATAATAGTTTATCCTGCTAGATTCTGGACCAGGTGCAGCTTCCGAGTGGTCTTCAAGAGTAGCCCCACACCATTAAATTAAATTAAATTAAATTAAATTAAATTAAATTAAATTAAATTAAATTAAATTAAAACTAAACTAAACTAAACTAAACTAAACTAAACTAAACTAAACTAAACTAAACTAAACTGTTCCATATTTCCCCAAACAATATTCTACATACTTGATGTTTGGCTTCTTCTAGGATGTCTATTAAATCCAAGAAGCCTGTGATAAGTATTCTCCTTCACTCAAATTTATTTTATGCCCTCATATCTTCATGCTGCATGTCCCCACCCAATAACACTGGCTCTTGCTGATAAACAAAGTGTGATGAAGAAAGATAGGAAAGAATAAATGTTTAAAGGTTATTTTTGCCCTTAGAAATTAAAAGGAATGAGGGAGCAAATGCTTAAAAATAGTTTTGTTTCTTTTTCAGTTTTGCAGCTGGGAATTATTGCATTCATAGAATAGACATCCAACAAATGTTATATAAATTCCCAGGAAAAATAAATGCATCACTAATGGGATGATAAAATATCTGTATGGAGTGTGGAATAGGTTTTCAGGCTCGCTTAAGCAAGTCGCCTACATTGCTGGAGGGCAATGCATGCAGATGCTACTCAGAATGCCATCTGGATGCCACTTTTGAAGATACAAGAAAAGCAAAGCAAGGTAAACTTAAAATATGACAAGGGAGTACAAGCAGTCAAACGCAAATGAGATGCATGTTGCTAGAGATCACCTAGCAACATTCAGTGAAAAAATATGGAGCATAATATAATATAGGATGGAAAAAAGTTTAGCTGCTTGCTAACTGGTTATGAATACCTCTGTTAAAATGCTACACTGTGTATTGAACCACTAAATGACAAACATCTCACCTTTAGAATTCATGCACTGTTATTTAAAATGTTATGGTTCTCCTAATAAAGTGTAATACAGGTAGTCCCTGGGTTAAGAACGCCTGGTTTAAGGACAACCCATGGCTAAGAACAGAGCCTATTGTAGCAAAATTCAAGTTAAACACACAATGATTTGAGCTAAATACACAATGGTTCGAGTTAATTACACAATACTACTTATACAGTATTATACAATAATACCCTTCTGGCTTACATACAAATTCAACTTAAGGAAAGACCTTGGGAATGGAACTCGTTCTTAAATTGGGGACTATGTGTACTCTTAAATCAAACCATTCAACTGCTATCAGCCATAACTGGGTCAAATATGTTAGATGAATGCTGTAGTCCATATTTCTCATAGGGATGAGAAACCTATGGCATTCGTGATGATGCTAAATTACAATTCATAGCACCTTTTATCCCTAGTTATGTTGTCTGGGCTGATGGGAGCTGTGGTTCAACTACATCAGGAAGGTTGCACATTCCTCACTTGTCCTATAATGCATTTTTGTTTTTAAATTGTGGAAATGTGTTTGCATGTGCCACTAATAGTACTCTATAATCAAGCAAAATCTAGAGTGACAGAAATCTTACAGGAGACCTATACCCATTAAAATCAAAATTAGTGTGCCTTGCGTCAAAATATCCTCATTTGCAGACAGAGGTTACCTTCTCTTTGTAGGAATCCATGGTTAATCAATTGCAGGCAGGACTGAATCAGGAGAATGGGGAATGGATAGATCTTAATATAGCACTGCGAGTCATTTGAAAGCCTTCATAAAATTGTAAACAGATAATTTGGACATGTTGATGGGAAGATTAGGTTTTATTGTATCTTGAGTGACAGGCTTAGTGAAAGATATTTGTGGTTTGCCTCCTGTTGCTAAAATCCAATGACAAGCAAAACCTGACATGTGTGTATAATCGGAAGGCTTTAGGGGAAATATGAGAAACAGCTCATTAAGAAGCTTGTACTTCAGTGAGTTTTAATTTCACATGATGATAGAATTGCAATATTCAGAAGATGTGCAAAATATTGAAAGATATCATTTGGTGAAATCTGCTTTATTTGTCTTTGCTCACATGTATTTGAAGAGTGGAAAGTTTTATCTAAAGCAGCCCTCGATTTGGTGCCCTTCACATGTCTTGAACTTCAGGTCCCAGATTTTGGCTGGGAATTTTGAAAAATGAAGTCCACACATCTGGAGGGAAGCAGTTTGGGAAAATTTGGTTTGAAGGTCAAAGGTTAGGGAAGATTGGCCATAATCCCAACAGGAAAAATGTCAGGAACAGCATAAAGTGGCATAATATCCAGAGCCAGTATAGACAACAAATCAGTTTTGTAGCATACAAATGTTTGCAGCTGTTAAACTCAATTTGTTTTCACAGCAGATTAATTCTGACATTCATATACAGCAGCAGAACAAGAAAATAGCTTTGCCAGTGCTAACCTTCCTCAAGATGAAAACAAGCACTATCTTAAATCAGCTGCATTGCTAGAAGGTACAATGCACTAAAAGGAGAGAATAAGGAAACAATTTTCTGCTGCTTAAGATATTTAGGCAAAGTCATTTAGACATTCGTAGGGACAAGATCTACTATGATTAAAGTAAGTATCCTTGGATATGTAAATCAGACAGAGGTAACAAGGTAATCTTGACACAAATTGAATTTTAAAGAATTGTCTAATAGAGAAAGCAATAAATAGAGGAAAATGAATACAAATGTATCTGTTCAGCTATAAAAAATAATTCAGTGCATGTTTCATTTTCTTTTCTTTGTTTTAATGATTTGTAGAAAAACTAAATATCAAAGTGGTCATTTCATTCATGTTTGTTTTTCTGTTATAATTTTTATTTTTTTCTTTTAAAGGAGTATATTTCTCTTAATTTTAAAGAAGTTCAGAACATACTAAGTTATATCTGGAGTAGGCCCAATGAAATCAATTGGACAGAAGGACTAACTCATCCCATTAATTTCAATGCATCTACTATAAAAATGGGACCGTGATATCCACGGTATGCTGCAGATGCTGACCTTACATCTTGCATTCCAACGTCTGATACTAGTATGCAAATCAAGGTAGTTGCATGATGATGTCATCATGAACATTTTGTCATTTGTCCCCCACTGCCCCCACTATGGATACCTATGCAATGGGATTTAGAATGCACTTTAATCCCACATAAGTGTTTGTATAGGACTGTACCTTACAGCCCAGACTATCTCTGCCCCCCCACTGTCTCTCTTTCTATTTCTAATTTGCTCAAATGTAAGTACCAGAAACCTAATTGGGTTTAGGACAATACACAGGGAAGATAAGCCTATATACTCTTCAGCCTCTTCTTTCACATACTGTAGAAAAAAAGATACTCCATTGGCACCAACAGAAATATGTTTAATGTTCCTTCCCTGAGAGGAAAGCAGTACAATTTTTAAATGAAGGGCCTTAAAGGCAGTATGTTTTCTTCTCTCTGTGCAAAATGGTCCTCTAGATTGGGGCCCTACTGCATGATATTCTTTATTTTGTGTAGTTTGAACCGACATGTGGATCTAACCTGATATTTATAGCAGCCTACACCTATCTGAATGATTTCTAAATCTGTGGACTTCAGCTTAAATAATTTCTCAGCTAACATGACCATTTCTGGAAATTGAACTCCATACATTGGAAGAAGTCCAGGTTTGGGAAGGCAAATTTTTAGAAAAATGAGATCGTATGATCCTTCCAAATTCCTTATTCCTCAGTCTGTTTCTCTTTTCATTTTTATCCCAAAAGTTAGTCTCCCCAGTCATCCAATAAAGCTAAACTTAATATAAATAAAATGTGGGAGGACAGATAGTTCTTCTGTACACTTAAAGTAAGCATGGCTTATATAAGTAAACAAATGGTGCAGGTGTGTTTTAAGACCTACTGTGATAACTCTGCTGTAGTAATTTATGAGCATCCAAAATTTGGGAAAATGTGTTTCTTCTGTAAATATAATATGTACTTACACTTACAGGTTGACTTTTTGGCACATCATAAACACCTTCTTTCTTTTGGCTAGTAGGAACCTGTGGGAGGAAAAATGTAATTAGGATCAATCTGAAAAATACTGGAAGCTCTATTGGGAGTTTAATGGATGATTTGAGCAACACTGACACATTCTTGTAATGAATGAGATGGATGACCTTTTTCCATAGTTCTTGGAACTCCACTATGCCTTTATCCTAGCCTCCATTTCAGACAACACGGCCATACGGACAGATGTCTTATTTGGGTTTACTATCTGGTACCCTAAGTTTAAATTTTAAAAAAGGGCTCCTTCACAAGAAATCTGTAATTTTACACATGTGGTACTAATATCTTGTAATATTGTGCTACTGCTTATAATATTACTGTATTCTTTTTCTATGTAGAGTTGGCACATTTAGTCCTGATCCACATTTGTTGCTCAAATTTATTATTTGGGAAGAGAAAGCAGTTGAGCAATATGTCAACCTTCTAATTGTAGGTAATGCTTTATCAATGGCTGTCCAATTAGTGCTTTGTAGGAGAGATTTTATATTTTGTTCACATCTGCTCTGTACTCATTAGAAGCTGGGTTTTTTCCCCATTTGACGATGAATAATTCAAGAACTTTGGTGGAGTCAATAAAAGAGATTTTTTGAAACTTCTGCATTTTCCTGATTTCTTATCCTTCCAATGAATCCTTATTCCAGCTTATTGGTCCTTTTCCTTCTGTTCCAATGTATTCATTCACAGCCTGATCCTTTCTCTAGAAATTAAATTTCATTTATTGGTGCTGCTGCTTAGTTTATCTGATATCTTGTTAGACTTTATTTGTACTGGCAGCATCACCTTTCTCTCATTTAATTTTTTTGAACTTAATTATTAGATTAGGTTTTATATTTAATCAAGTTCTATGTAATCTCTTCTTTTATTACTTGCAGGTATGTTATTTATTTGAATATATACTCCACTAAGATGTTTAACTGTCTAGTGTGGAGACCTTTTATTTAGCCTGTTATGAGTGCACATCATTTTATTGTATAAGTGGATTTTTATATTATTCATACATATACTATTATGAATTATCTGGTGTGATATATATATCATATCATATTATGATATGATATATATATTCACATTCAAAGGACTATAAAGGGAAATGTTGGAAGACTTGCTTTGTGCTGTGGAACATTTTGTCAAAGGAAAGCAACTCAATGAAGCAGAATGTAATGCCTGATTGAGGTGAACTATGTCTTATTAATAATCTTATAATTTATGAGAGGAAAAAAAATCTGTATACAATACTAAGAGGGGAAAGTAATCAAAGCATTAGTCTGTTCTGAACTTGAGAAGGCAGTTTTATTATCTACTGATAAGGGCAGAAAAGTCAAGTAAAAAACACAAGACAAGTATAAGAATATATGGAACTTTCCTCTTAGTCATTAAAGAGATGCAGAACATCTCATTTCTAAACATTGTGTTTCAAATTCTTTCTTTCTTTCTATTGTCTCCTTCATCAAAATTTCACAAATTCTAATTCTACAGATTCCAGATACTTTAGAGTTATAACATCTATTGGGCATACTAAGCCAAATACATGTACCAACCTTGCCCTATACTGTTCAAGAACAAACTTATTATGCACAATGTGTATCATAAATTTATATATAATAAGTTAATTTCAAATTGTTGAAAGGCAGAACAGCAGCTTCCTTATTGGACTTTTTCAACATTTTATAGCACTCATAGCAATGATAGCTATTTTGTCATGGAAGACTGGATCATAAGTGCTATGATACATTTCTTCTCTGCCTGTGTCTATGAGAGGAGGTACTTCTGGCTTACTTACTATATTTATTTAAGAATTTCTGTTCTTCTGAATTGTTTACAAAATTATACATACACACACACGTACATGTATGTATGTATTGTATGTATGTATGTATGTATGTATGTATGTATGTATGTATTTCTACTCAGATTTTTATCTCAGTTCTAAAAGCATTCATTCAGATATGCTTAACTGGGTGCTTAATTGAAGGAGAGAAAAAGTGGCTATAGGTGACCAAATGGAGTAACTTTATAAGCTCAGCTTCTTTTTAGGTCAAATTAATATTATAAATTTTCTGATATTTTGTCAACTCATAAGATAATTATAAAATACAAAGATGGTATAAAAGAGAATAATTAATCGCAGAAGTACATTTCCCAAAATATATCCACAGCACTGAAATTTCAATCAGTTCTATAACTGTATTTTCTACAACTTGCCCAGGACGCATAAATTACTGCTAATTTTAGCTTGATATAATTCAGTAAAAAGCTCATGATTATAGACATGTTTATTCCTACAAGCTATACACATTTTATACTAATAATACAAGTGACTTATTAAACTGGCTAATATCTATTCTTACTGAATATGGGATGAGTTACATCTTCCTCTGGAATAAAAGATGAATGAGTTATTTAGCTCTATCCTTAATAGTTTCATTAAAAGAAGTCTATTCAGTTTGCGTCAACCAGAAGTATTTACATAATAAAAGAAGCTGTAGTTACAAACAAGAATGGGTTAAAAGTGACAACTCTATTGGTCACGGCTCAAGAGGTTTGTCAGTGACAAAGGGCATGGATCCAATCATCAGCAGCTTGCATGCTGGTTAACATTAGTGAGAGAAAATAAAGATCTTCAGCCAACCACAATGTAATGGACAACCTACTGGTGGCCAGAACTTGGCAACCTATTACAGGGCATCTGTGCCTTTGATAAGCTGATTGCTATGTGTACATTTACTGGATATCTGTGTCTTTGATAAGCTATCACCTATGTGTGGTGATTTCTCTACTCCAAGCAAGCAGGTCTATCACTTCAGAAGATGCTCCTCTACTTCTATAGAGAGTAAGGAAGATAACCTTGATGGAGATAAGTAAGCTCTGTTACCAGGGTGATGAGGGGTAAAACATATTTTAAGTCTACAACCAACAGATAATATTCGGAAGTGGCTCAGACAGACACCTCCCTAATTCACTTGAACTATAAGCAGTAGAAGGAGGTACAGCATAACGAAACTTGCAAGATTGATGCCATCCCACTAAGTAGACCATACCAAGGAATCAACTCCACAGGAAGGCTGAGACCACTTTCGTTGAGATTGCTATAGTAACAGTAACTGTGCCAGAATGCAGTGGTGTGTGCCGTTCTGGGTGCTCCATGGTTTGCCTGTGCACTGGCTCCCAGTTTCTTCTCTCGGTGAAATTCAAGGGAATGGTCACCACCTCTATGGCAGAGGGCCAGGTTACCTATGAGATCGCCTCTCCCTGAGGACATCTACCCATCCCACTAGATTGGATAGGATGGTTTCGCTCCAAGTCTCCTCTCTTAAATGTTGCCACCTGGTGGGACCTAGGTAGCAAGTCTTTCCCATAGTTGCCCCTAGGATGTGGAACAGCCTCCCCACTGAGGTGTGGAGGGCCCCTACCTTCCTTGCTTTCTGGAAGGCTGTTAAGAACTGTCTCTTCCCTCAGGCATTGGGTGAGGAGGGGAGGGGAGGGGAGTTTGGCATTTGTGGTTATGTGATGTGATTGCTTTGGTGCTTGGTGGCTCAAAAGGGTTTTTATTTTTATTTGTTGTCTTTTACTATGTAACTGTAGTTAGCTGCCCAGAGTTATTTT